TCTGCTGGGTACTTCGGTGAATCGAAGTCAATTTTTACTGACCCGGTACGATGTTGACAAAAACAGATTGCAGAAACTGACAGACGTAAAGAACGGATGGAACGCAGCCTTTGTGGCCATTGAGGGTAAGTCATAGTTAGTCAAATTGCTGACAGCCTTATTACTGTTTTCGTTTATTTTAAACAGTCGCGGTCGAACGTTTGACATGGCTATTTAGTGTCATTAGTACGCTCAGTGCAGCCCTGCCATCCCGTTTAAATGCACTTATCTGACCGGGTCGATAGTTTGCATTAACTTACTTTCCCACTTTGCCTCTTACTACCCCGAAACAGATGCTATCTTTTTAGTTAGGGGTTACTAGAAGGACGATCGCTAATCAAACATTTTCACACTTAATATATGCACTTTTATCACCAGATCGATGCTTAACATTGATATGTATAGTCCTCTATGCATTTTGTTTTTTACTGCGCGTCTTATTGTCCCAAAACAGATTGCATCTTTGTTATTGGAGGACCAATAGAGAGCACAAGCGTTAGGAAATTTGATACGAGGGAACGCCAATGGACTGATTGTGCACCGATCCCTCAGTTGCGACAGAACTATACAGCAGTCGCTGTCGCAGTTGGCGGAGAAACCGTCATATGTGTCTGCGGAGGCATGAAAGATCTCTGGAGCAACAGACGCACATCTGAAATATTCCCTCTCTTTTCTCCGTCAGAAAACAAGTGAGAATTTGCAATGTCATAAATGTCTGCCAAATTGCACAGCAGTCGTATATTGATAGCGACCTGGACATTTTGGATGCTGGACTCTGCCATTTTCCCACTTCAAAGTCAGGGCACTATACCCGGCGTACGAATTTATTCAAGTGCCCGTGTCCTATTAGCCATTGTTAGAATGGCCGTCTTTGGTCCTTTGCCTTTCGTACTTTTGTGCCGTGTCCGTATCCTAGCAGCCACCGTGCTCTCTTTATTGGCTATCTTACAACTGTAGGGCTTCCACTGAGGCTCTCTGTAATATTAAAGGTATAAATACGATTTGCAGAGTGGACTTTCTTCCACTTCGCCATCATAATTACTTTACAAATGTTTTTATGACTCAAAAGGTCCATTATGATGGTGGAGCATCCTACTGGGCACTTGCAGCCGGTGAGTGAATGCCTTTGACAGGTCTAGTTGTTATCCCAAAATTAAAATGTTTGTTTAAAATACGGTGGGGATTCCTTGTGGGGCCGCCTCGGGAACGTGTGAAGCGCACCCCTCAGGCTCACGGGCTCCTGATTTTAGCGGAGAGGACGGCCAGGGCATGTCAGGGAACAAATTAGATCGCAATATTTTTGTAAAATAAAAAAGTCACGAGGACAAGTTGGGTCGGATATTCAAACCTTGGGAGAAAACACTAAAACAGGCTTTAATATCATCGCTGACCCCCGCTCGATCAACGGCGAACGCCTCTATGTACGGATGGACGATCATGGGTACTACGACCTACTTAAAACATTTGAGTAGGTGGCTATAATACATAAGGACCTTTCGAACACCTTACAAGGAAACCCTACCAAAAATACGTACATGGCGTCTACAATGCGGAAGTGTTTGCTAAAAGCCTCTGCAGCCTAGTGACTGTTATTGCATTCAAGAGTAGTCTAAGACATGATACCACATTGCAACCTGTTGTTAAGGATTTTAATTTACCGTTAGGACTTTGACTGCCGAAGTAGCAGAACCCTCAGAGCAACCTCCAATTGTTATGACAGAACAATCTCACCGAGACCTAGCTTTGCGCATGGTATCATATCTCGAGGGTTCAACCAGGGACAATTGCAATCTGACCGCGCGCTCTCCAAAACGCCATCTGTAACGCATTTTGGTGTGCTTAAAAGTTTCGATTGGCCATTTATGTTTGGGAAAATAAACTTTTAATCTATCCTAGACTTCCCTCTAGCAGCGTGCAGTGGCATGTTCGTTGAGTTTTAAGGGCAAAGGTGAGATAACTCGACCAGCACTGCGTGACGCACATACACGCACGCGATATTTTGACCGTTGATTTCGATGATGTCCAGCGTATGCTCCAAACACGTTAGTGCATGAAGTAGTTTTACTTGGTGGTGGACTTGCTCCGCATCTACCGCACACTCTCTTCCCTCAACCACCTAAACTCGGTGTCAACCCACAGTCAAGATGACCGGAGGCAGGGTCGGGCGCCGGGCCGCTCCTCCTATGCGTGCCACCACACCTCGCTAGGATCCTAACCACGTGGTAGTGTCAGAAAGGCCACATCAAGAAGTAGACATTGCAGCCTGAAACTCAGTTCGCCAGTAAGCCAAGTCAGTCGACAAGACACACACTGGACTGACCACACGGTGCGAGTTATCAGTTGGCAGCCCTCCAAGTCACCGTTATAGTTTCAAGTTTCCATGTTACGACTTTCAATTTGCGCGGGTGACCATCGATCTGTGGCCTTGAGTTCACCGACTAAGTTACCTGAAGGTGGATATCTCGGTATTTGCCTGGTGTTACCGTCCCTATAACTAGCCTTTTCTTCTCCTCTAGATGGTACGAACTACCAAAGTCGAAAAGAGAAAGGAGCA